TCCGCATACCCCATCGCATAACTGAAAGATGAAAGAAATAAAAAATACACTTTCGAATAGAAGTGCGAAGAGGGTATGCGAGCAATATGCGGTAATTCGCATACCGCCTGGCATAACTGAAAGATGAAAGAAATACGAAAAAAAAAAACTTATTATGCACTAATTCTTCGAATAATATGCGATGTTGGTATGTCGCAGTTGTGTCGCAGAATAATTTTTTCGACTAATAGTCGCAGTTCATTCGCCTAACAAAAATAATTATTTAATGGGCGACGGATCGCGATTGACCGAATCGTACATCGAATCTCCGAATATTCATCGTAGAACAGTCGCATACTTTAACTCATAATTTTCTCGCCCATGCTCATACCTGTCGCCTATTTAGCGCAAGTTCATCGCATATGTCTTCGTACATTTTGGGGTGAAAAACTTAGTTTTTTATTGGGTGGTGTAAAAAAACTTAGTATGACTTCAGAACGGGGTGAAAATAACTATTTCCTCTTCTTTTTAAATGTCATTTTGACATTATCAACTATTAACAAAATAAATGTCGTTTTGGATATTTTGTACATATTTTTCTATTATTACCCTTATTTAGCTAATAAATACACTACGTCTTTTCATATTCACTCTTCATCTTTTCTCAAAACATTCATCATTATCTTCATTAATGAGGGTTATTATTGACCAAAAAAATATTCTTAATAAATGTGTCACTTCTCAAAACGACATTTATTATGAATAAGAGAGAGTATATAATAATATATATATTCTTGTAAAAGTTATTTGAATTTTCTCATTAATATATAACATGGCAACACATTCTCTCCATGTTTTTTGTCTGGATTAAATTTCAAGAAAAAAAAAAATCCAGTCATTTCATGCGCATCACAGCCTGTTACAGTATCCAAGATCTCACGACTCCCAAACTTACCAAAAAATACAAAAACAATAGTAATAAAATACTAATCCCCATATGAAATTTTGTTCATAACATATACACTCGAGTTATATAATACAAAAACAATAGTAATATAATACTAATCCCCATATGAAATTATTCATATCATATACACTACTTTAGTTATTACAATTGAATACTAATCCCCATATGAAATTATTCGTAATATATAAAATCAAACCATAACCAATCATTTATCTTCTTCCTCTTAGTCTCCATTATAACTCTTATACACACTGTTCTTGCTGCTTCACAACAGCAAAAAAAAATGAAGAAAATTTGAAAGATTTATACATACACATACAAAACAAAAACAGGGAAAAAAAAAAGAAGATAGCATCATCATGAAGTTGAAAACTAAATCCATCTTCCTTTTGATCTTCCTTCTATCACTCGACGCAATCCAATCGAACGACGAGATATCGATCCTCCTATCCATCAAGTCGGGCCTGGTCGACCCGTTAGACCGTCTAACAGACTGGAAACAGCCCGAAAATCGAGACCTCAACACCTCAGCCCACTGCAACTGGACCGGCATACAATGCAGCCCAGACGGGTCGGTCCAAAGGCTCGACCTTTCCAACATGAACCTCACCGGCCCGTTTCCCGATCAAATCCAAGGCTTAAACAGCCTAACCACACTCAACTTATGCTGCAATGGCTTCTCATCTTCACTCCCCAAATCCCTATCCAATCTCACCTCACTACAATCCCTTGATATCAGCCAAAACTTCTTTACCGATCATTTCCCAGCATTTGGCCCGGGATTAGTGTCGTTAAACGCCTCGGGCAACAATTTCTCCGGACACTTGCCCGAGATGCTCGATAACTCGACACAGCTCGAAAGCCTTGATTTGAGGGGGAATTTTTTCGAAGGCCCAATACCAAAAAGCTTCGGGAGTTTGAGCAAACTAAAGTATCTCGGGCTATCGGGCAACAATCTAACGGGCCCGATTCCGTCCGAGATCGGACAGCTGTCGTCGCTCGAGACAATCGTGATCGGGTATAACGAGTTCGCAGGCGGGATACCGAGAGAATTCGGGAACTTAACCAACCTAAGGTACCTTGACCTTGCGATAGCTAATCTCGGGGGCCAGATACCGGCCGAGCTAGGGAAACTCTGGCTTCTCGACACGGTTTTTTTGTACAAGAATAAATTCGAAGGCGAAATCCCACCGGAGCTCGGAAAAATCACCTCGTTAGAGTACCTCGACCTGTCGGACAACTCGTTTTCCGGCGAGATTCCGGTCGAGTTAGCCGATCTCCAGAACCTGAAGCTGCTCAACTTGATGTGCAATAGGCTGTCCGGCCTGGTTCCGGACCGAATCAGTGGGCTGAGCAAACTCGAGGTGCTCGAGCTATGGAACAATTCGCTCTCCGGTCCTCTGCCGGCAGATCTCGGCGAGAATTCGCCCCTCCAGTGGCTGGACGTCTCCTCAAATTCGCTTTCGGGTCGGACTCCGGACTCGCTCTGTGCCAGAGGTAATCTCACCAAACTCATACTCTTCAATAACGGGTTTTCGGGCCCAATCCCGCCTGGTTTATCCGCCTGCGCCTCTTTGGTTCGGGTTAGGATGCAGAACAATCACCTGAACGGTACAATTCCGGTGGGTTTTGGCAAGCTCGGCAACCTCCAGCGGCTCGAGCTAGCGAACAACAGCCTCGCCGGTGAAATCCCGGCCGACCTCTCGTCGTCGATTTCGCTATCGTCGATCGATTTATCGAAGAACAAGCTCCGATCGTACCTGCCGTCGTCCATCCTCTCGATGCCGGGCCTGCAGACCTTCATTGCCTCGGGTAACGACCTGTTTGGGGAAATCCCGGACCAATTTCAGGATTGCCCAGGACTAACAATTCTCGATCTATCCTCAAACCGGTTCACCGGAAAAATCCCGTCGAGCATCGTCTCGTGTGAGAAGCTCGTGACCCTGAATCTTCACAGCAACGGGCTAACCGGGCCGATCCCAAGCCCGATAGCCATGATGCCCGCCTTAGCCGTCCTAGACCTGTCCAACAACTCACTGACCGGCGGCATCGAGAATTTTGGAAACTCACCTGCCCTCGAGTTGCTCAACGTCTCGTACAACGAGCTTTCCGGGCCCGTCCCATCCAACGGCGTCCTCCGAACTATCAACCCAAACGACCTGGTCGGAAACCCAGGCCTCTGCGGCGGCGGCCTCCTCCTTCCTCCCTGCTCGAGAATCTCCGGCAGCTCATCGACCCGCCGGAGCCCACACGGAGAGAATACTGCTGCCGCCTTCCGGGGGTTAGTAATCGGGTTTTCATCCCTGTTTCTTCTCGTGGTGTCAGCCCTCGGGGTCCGATTTTTCTACAGAAAATGGCGGGATGGGACATGCTTCGAAGAAAAACTCGAGATGGGAAAAGGCGAATGGCCATGGAGGCTGATGGCCTTCCAGCGGCTCGATTTTACGAGCAGCGACATACTCTCGTGCGTGAAGGAGTCGAACGTGATAGGAATGGGAGCCACGGGCACGGTTTATAAAGCTGAGATATCGAGACTAAATACGATCGTGGCCGTTAAAAAGCTGTGGCGATCCATAAGTGATCCGGAAATGGGTGGAAGCGATTATCTCGTCGGGGAAGTTAATTTGCTCGGGAGATTGAGGCACAGGAATATCGTGCGTCTGTTGGGATTAATGCACAACGACACGAACGCAATGATAGTTTACGAGTTCATGCAAAACGGGAGCCTTGGGGAAGCCCTGCACGGGAAAAAGGCTCGGAATCTGCTGGTGGACTGGGTGACGAGGTACAATATAGCGGTGGGTGTGGCTCAGGGGCTGGCTTACCTGCACCACGATTGCCACCCGCCCGTGATTCATAGGGATGTGAAGTCAAACAATATACTGCTTGATGCGAATCTCGAGGCTCGAATCGCCGATTTCGGGTTGGCTAAGATGATGATCAGAAAGGACGAGACGGTTTCGATGGTTGCTGGGACTTATGGGTACATAGCACCTGGTGAGTTTGGTATGACTTTTCAAATAAGGCCGTTGAAATTTTTAATTCAGTTGGCTTATCACCGAACACTTTTACCATACCAGCTGGTTTTTCAGCCATCAGCCATAAGCTATCAACTATAAACACGAAATTCATTGCTAAAATTTGCCAAACAACTAATTTTACCACATTTGTATCATATCGGCTAGTTTTTCAGCCATCAGCTATAAACTCGAAATTCACTTATAAGTTATTAGCTAAATTTATCAAACATAGCATGTATGGTTCATGAATTCAGATGACTTAATTTGGTGGTTTTCTTTTTGACAGAATATGGGTATACACTCAAAGTCGATGAAAAAAGCGACATATACAGCTATGGGGTGGTTTTAATGGAACTCCTGACGGGAAAGAAGCCATTGGACCCTGAATTTGGTGAAACGATCGACATAGTCGAGTGGATACGTTGCAAGATGAGAAACAATCGGCCTCTTGAAGAGGCTCTTGATCCTAGTGTGGGGAACACAAGGCATGTTCAGGAGGAAATGATGTTGGTTTTGAGGTTTGCCGTACTTTGTACGGCCAAGAACCCAAAGGACAGGCCATCCATGAGAGACGTATTGTTGATGCTTGGAGAGGCAAAGCCGAGGAGAAAAAGTGGCTCGGGTAATGAAGATTGTGGTAATAATAAGCCGGTGTTTACTGCTTCACCTGTGAATGGCCTTCTGTGACTGAGTATATGCATGTTTGTGAATTGTAATCTTTGTATAATTTGCAGGTGATGGTTTTTAGGTTATGGGATTCAAAATTGTATTTAGATTTTTTTTTTTAATCTCTTTGTAAGTTATGCATATTGTATTTGTGTATCTGTTACATCAGGGCTTGTTCTGTAATTAACCCAATCATGTAAACAGAAAAGTGAATGAAAATTGAAATGTTGATGAATGTTTTCACCCATCTGGGTAATATGCATACATTCATCAGCTAGTGTGTAATCAATTGACTAACTGAAAAAGATTCATTTCATCCACTCGAAACATGAAGCCGATACCATAACGATTAACGAGTAACCTTTTTTTTTTTACATTCAAAATCCGAAGTACAAACAAAAGGGAGAAACGAGGTATACATACCTCTTCTTCGTACAAAAAAACAATATACGTTCTTTCATTAAGCCAGATGAAAATTTCAGGAGTTTTCAAGTCACGAGAGAAAAACGAAAGAAAACCGAACAACTAGGCAAAACCCCTTAGTTTACAGTGTACATCCAATGCCGACTCTTGATATACTTTACTATAGAACAGAAAAATGATTTGAAAAAAACAAAAAAAAAAAAA